GAGTAATTGCATCACTCCATTCCACCGCACTGCCACAGAAACAGGATAGAAAACTGTGTGATGTGATACGGACCACTGAGCCGTTTAGTCGTACCATGGTCTGTAGAACATCGACTGAGAAAGTATGCACAGCTGGGGACGAAATCATGATCATTAAATGTACAAAAATGTTCGTGAAGCTAAATGACAAGTATACAACATATTCTCGTTGCGGCCGGATTAAATGTATATACCAATATACTTTAGTACACCGCACTAACTTGGTATAAGTTAGTTAGTTAAGTTAAGACAGTTTTAAAGAAACAAAGGCATAAAAACGGATGTGATGTCACAATTCAGAAAAATTCTGGCAGTGGCGCCAAACACATCGTAAAAATAAAACATTATGCAAATCTCGTTACAAAATCATATTGATGGACTGCGTATTTGAACGCAGACAAAAATAATGGGGGAAAGAAGGAAGATATATATTCTTCTTCAAGATTGCGAGGGCTATGTGTTTGTTGATAAGTCGGCACTTGGCCTTCCGCCAAGATCAACACCGACTCCTGTTTCAAAAGGAGAAGTATTTGAGGCTCTTCCACATGCTGACCAACCCAAAGAGAAACACAGAATATCTCTTGCTGGAGTCGAACGAAAGGACTTGCGTCTTCAATGTGAAGACAAAGATATCAAGAAGTTAACCGTCACGGAAGCGGAGTCACTGTTGGCCGTTCCTTCAGCAGCACTCCGTTATGAAAAATTCTTAACAATACAAGAAGTCGGACGCCAAGCAGAGCAAAGTGTAAGTAATTCTAAAACAAGTTTAAATAGGTTCATTTTCATTTCCCTCCCAAAACCTTAAGTTTTAGTAATAAGAAATAGACAAATCTCTCTCTAATTCCTAAATCCTATTTGAAATGGAGTAGTCATAGAAAAAAGCAGTAGACGAAAATGCTTGTAAAAAATTGTGAGCGTGAATTCATTATCCTAAGCAATTGACCCAGAAAAGGTTGTGTTATGCATGCACTCCACGCTTCAAGGTGAAGCATCAAACAAATACTCTGAAATAACACAGTAGGTGTATTGACCTGAAGACGCATAATTTAAAAGCAAGAGAGAATGAGCTAGCTCATTCTTTCTTGTAAAAAGTTATTAAATGTTCTTCGCCCTAACACCTACCCCAAGGTTTGCTATTTCTACTCTCCCAAATTTTCCTCGAAGGTAAAATGAATGATGGTAGCCACGGTATTACGAACATAAACAAGGGGCTGCCGCTCGCCCAAAAAGATACGCCTGCATTGCTAGCTAATTGTGGGGCTCAGGCGGGCTATTATTTGAAGACGCGTGTCTCGCGCTTGGCGCGCGCGCTCTAAAACCCGCCCCAAATAATGCCTGTCGTCCAGGCCAGAGCCACCAAAAATAGCATTAATTTTTCCTCTGAAAAATTCTCAAGCCAAAAGAAATTATCAAAACAGAACAAAACAAACAAAAAAGGTGTATTTTAGGGCCCAGGAGGGTAATCTAGACTGTCGGGAACAAAAAAAAACGGACTCCGTATCAAATCTTTCCTTCCATTTCGTTTACAACAGAAAAGCAACCTTCAAGGAACCTCGGAGGAAGAAATCAAACAACTTGATCAAGAAATTGAAGTTGGTCAAAGAGTGATAACTACTATAAAGGATGTTCAGACTCGAGGAACTGTACGTTACATTGGCGAGGAGAAGGACTCGAGAGGCGCGTCGCGCAAATTTGTGGGACTGGAGCTGGTACGTTGCAATATTTTTTTTTTTTAAGTCTAGGGTTGACCATATGAAAACCCAAGAAATTGGGGGTTTGTTGTTGCGGCTTTACTTTTGAAAATAATTCATTTTTCATTCAGTACCCTTAACTTGGGGCGGGGGGGACAGGGCGGCAGGAGCCCGGGAGAATAAGGAGCGGGAGGGGTACGGGAGACGGGAGAGGACGGAGGGGGAAGCGGGAGAGAAATTCAAGCTTTCGTTTTTTGTTCCTGCTTATCATCCAGTCAAAGTAACGGATAACGTTTCTTGACTTCCATTTAACCTTCTCCGAGGCTTAAAGCAAAATTTTATGCGCGAGAAAAGTCAAAGAAAGAAAATTCGTACTCGGGATAAAAAAAATCGCATTACTTCCGGTGAAACTGCAAACCTTTCCAAGCCGCTTACATCCTAGGTCTGTATCCGTAACTAATAACGTAAACTACCTCAAAGGAAAGGATCAACATTCTACAGTTAAGCAATCTTTAAAAATATTTTGCTGGCCTTCATTATAATGGTCAAAATAGTTTTTACTTGCTGTAACTTTAATTATAACACTCTTAATGAAAGTAAAATCAAGAAATACATAGATCTCATTATCATGCAAGAGAAATATATCTCTTTCAGTTTTGGAACCAAATCCTTCAAAACTGACAAAAGCAAAATTTTTTATTACACAATCAAAAAGATTTATGGCCCCTCTGCTTACCTAGATCTAACAAGAAAAAACGCTTCCTGGGAAAGCGTTAGTGAAGCTAAAAAAAACGGCAGCCACAAACTTTTTTTTGAGACAGGAAGACACCGATATACTCGGTATTGGAAATCATGCACCGCGGTCATTCATGACATGATTACCCGTCCGTGACCTCTAGATGATGTCCCAAGCGCTGATTTCGAAAATTAACTGTACGCTCAGTTCGGCCAATCAGAAAAGAGATGGTGTGTTGAATGTATAATAATAAACGTTACTCAAATTTAAACTTTTTTCAACAAGAACTTCTTTTTGAACTCGGGCTCCAAATAAAAAAAGCCAACAACCGTTGTTAGAAGAAAGGAGAACTCTTTTATATTTTAGATACTTTTTTAGCCAGGATAGAAAGTGTAAACAAAGGCATCAAACTTCATTCAAGTGGTATTCAGAGCACGAGTTATGTGTCGAAAAAAGTAACGCACTGCATAAATTCTTGAATGGCAAGTAATGAATAAGAACATGAATAACAATTCAATGGAACATGTCTTAAAAACAACAAGAAAAAAGGAAAGAAAGGCGAGTAGCCCGTCTGAACTGTTTCTAAATATCTCACGATCTGTATTTTCACGATTGTGTTTTGAGCTAAAGTTATAAATCAACAAATGACAGAATTATTCCTGGAAAATTTCTGTTCAAAACCCCATAAGCTGATCCTTAATTGCAATTCGCATAACACTAACTGGATCGTGGATACGTTCACTCAAGTATAATCGGCTGAGTGCATAGCAAAATTCAATTTAAAAGAGACCAATCAGGGCGTGGCTTAGACTGTCTTTGACCCCTAACAGAGACTGTACTGGAATTGAATGCTGTCTTTAAGGTCCTTCAATACAGTATTACGGCGTTTGTTTGAGTATATTTCTTTGCAAACTACCCTAAGCGATCTCTGTACGGGTAAAAATATTAGTTTTCCGTCCTGAACACCCTAGGTGAGACCAAAATCAGCGATTTACATCGTCCCATAAGTAACTAAAAAAAAGACAACGAGCTCAAATTGGGTACTTCTGATTTATTGGTAGCTAGGTCATGTTGGGACTGCTTTTTTTTCTTCTCCTTTCTGACTAGGATGAAAAGCGAGGAAGGGGAGATGGAAAGTTAAAGAAGAAACAACTCTTCACTTGCAAAAAAGATCATGCAGTGTTTGTTGATATAAAAGCTATATTACCTGAAACAGACCTTAGTCATGGAATCCCTGGAGAGGTGGTAACAACGACAACGACTGACGAACATGGTAATAACACATTTTAAAAACAAAATCCTGCGGATCTGTTGAATCTGATTGTAGAGACAAGGTTAACATCAATCTTGAGCGGTCAAAAAAATTGTTATCGTTAAAACCAACTGAGTGAAACTAATTGCCACGGGTTGAAATTAAAAGACAAGCCGCTACACGACCTACACTGGAACCTCGATATACCGATATAACGAACCACTATAAAACGAAGTCCTAGGTAAATTACGAACGATTTTCTCCGCCTCAGAGTGAAATATACTGGAAAAGAACCTCAATATAAGCAAAATTCGTTATAGTGAACAAAATTTGCCAGAGAATGGCCTTGGGTTATATCGAGGTTCCACTGTATTTCCAAGAAGGTCTGTTATCAATACAGAATCTTATGTCGTCGTCTTAACTGTTAAAATACTAGAAAGGATCAAATCAAGAGGAATAGAATGCACGATAATTTTGCCATTTACGTTAAGATTTTATTCTTTTAGTTGCCTTGTCGATAGCAGGCGAGTCAAAAACTCTCCAAGAAAATTTGAGTCAAAAGGAGTCTTTGGAAGGTAGGCTACCATACGTTGAGCAAATCTGGAGGGCTAAATGTGAAAAACTGGACTTAGAAGAACGATTAACGAGAATGGAACAACTGATGACATATTATAAAGAGCGATTACCTATAAGAGTTTCCATAGAGAGGAAGCGGTGTCAAGAGCAGTTGAAAGAATATAAAAGACAATTGCGTGACAGCGAATCAAAATTGGATAATGTCGAAACACAACTAAGTGAACTGCAAGAGCAATTTACAATTTTAGAGGAACGTAAAGAAAGAGAAACTTTTAATCTACAGGACGAGTTAGAAATTAAAAGAAAAGAACTTAATGAATTACAAAGAGAGCTGAGAGACCGAGAACAATATATAGTGCAACTAAAGAGAGATCTGCTTGACAGAGAAACGAAATTGGATAATTTCCAAACACAACTAATAGAACTGCAAGAGAAATTTACAATTTTAAAGGAACAAGAAGGGGGAAAATGTAATCTACAGGACGAGTTAAAAAACAAAAGCGAAGAACTTGATGAATTAGAAAGAGAGCTGAGGGACCGAGAACAAGACATTGTGCAACAAAAGAGAGATCTGATTGACAGAGAAACGAAAATTTTTCGAGAAGATGTCCAAACGCAACTAAGAGAGCTGCAAGAGAAATGTACAATTTTAGAGGAATATAAATTAAAAGAAAAAGAAAATTGTAATCTACAGGACGAGTTAAAAATTAAAAAAGAAGAACTTGATGAATTAGAAAGAGAGCTGAGGGATAGAGTACAAGACATTGTGGAACTAAAGACAGATCTTAAAGAAGCTAAAGAGACAAAAAGTAAATATGAATTACAGCTAAAGACACGTGACTGGATCCTTTCTCGAGATGAGGTTGAATTAACAGATAAACGCCTTGGGGAGGGAGCATTTGGTATTGTTTTCGAGGGCAGATATTGTGACTGTCCTGTGGCTGTTAAGAAACTAAAAGAATACAACCTCACGCCTGAAGCGCGCAGTTTGTTCGAGAGAGAAATGGACATAGCTTCACGGTGCCGTCATCCTTGTCTATTGTTGTTCATTGGAGCAACTATAGACGAGGGCCCTCCTTTGCTTGTTACAGAGCTTATGGAATTAAGCCTTCGAGATTTGTTACGAAAGAGGCAGCTGTCAGAAACACAAGTATCTGTCATTTCGTTAGACGTAGCTCGCGCCTTGGAGTATCTTCACCAAAGAAAACCCACACCAATTGTCCACAGAGATGTCAGTAGCGCCAACGTGTTACTTTGGAAACAAAATGACCAATGGCGAGCCAAATTGTCTGATTACGGAACACCAAAGTTTGTAGCAGAAATTATGACAGAAAATCCAGGAGCTTCGATTTACGCTGCGCCTGAAGCGGGCAGTTCCGATTACCAAACAGAGGTGGGTCTGTCTACTTAGTTATCAGTCTTGGTAAACGCCCGTACGTGAGGCATTAATTATTGAACACTGAAAGAAATAAACAATATTGCTATTGGGGGAGTGTAGGCTCTTTTCGCTTCCGGTCGTCTCCCCTCTTTCCTAATAGAAATTTTAGCCTAGTGCTGCCGATTGGCAATAAACACTTTTTTAGGGCAAAACTAAAATCTTTGCACGGTTAAGAGCATGAGAGAATTATCAAACAAACATGGCACTGAATGAATAAAAAAATACATGTAGATAGATAAATGAATCAATGAATAAATCAATAAATAAACAACGAGAGAAAGAAAGAAAAAATGGCGAGATCCCACAAGGGAAAGTTCAAAGTGCACCATAAAAACATGCAAGGTGCCGCCCTTCATTGTACAACTAATTATTGCCATAACCATTATTACTTAAAAACCCTTGAAATAAAATAAAACTGTTCCCTACTAACGTACGATTAATATTAACATAAACAGGAAATTCGCATGTACCACTTATTAATGTAGATTAGCGCATTAATATGCCTACTGCGCTGACCACGACTGTTGAGTTGGCCGAGTTCTCTGTTCTCACTGTAAACGGGAATGATTGGTATACTATAAAAGGACTGTCGTTTGATCTGGCAGTGCAGCCTGATGGTTGCCTACTGATATGTCAAAATATCCTAAAGTGTACCGAGATAGAGAATTATAGCGGCAGTAAAATTCTCCAATGAGGAATTTTCTTTCCTAGATTGACGTCTACAGTTTCGGGGTACTTTTGACGGAGATGTGCCTCAAGAATGAGGCGCCCGATCCTAACCGGCGCGAGGAACAAGTAAGAAGTGTGAAAAACGAGGGGTTTGGGATGATAATCTTGTGGTGCATTGAGCATAATCCTGAAGATCGACCCACCATGACGGAGGTTATCAAGGAACTGAAGCAGCTTAGTTGCATGTGATTCTCACCTAGTGTGACTTACAGTCTTTCAAACCTCTCCCTGACGCTTCTCTGCTATTATATGTAGGGCTTTCCACAAGTTTCTCGGTAACTTTTTGGCAACTTCTCGTATTTCGAGCAACTTTTTTCGTTTCGAGAAACTTTTTACATCCTGAGCATTTCTCTCGTTATCTTCTAATTCTTAGATATCGGAGCAGCTTCTAGCGCTTAAATTGGCCTTTCTTCCATATTTCACAATGTTTTAGTAGACAATTTATGAGTTTCCTATAGGAAAAGGAGCCAACTCCTTCCCCTGGGGCAGTTCATGGGCGCAAGATAAAAGTAGCCGAGCTGCTAGGTCAGCTGTTTTTAAAGAAAATTCAAAATGGTGGGTGACCTGAATCACACTCGATTGACTTGAGTGTCTCGGGTGAAGAGGGTCATTTAACAATTTTATTGGCTCATTAAATTTTTTGGTTTTAAATGATGGTAAACTTATTTAGCAACATTCGTTACCCCGCAAAATTGCACAAAAATGCTAAAAAATCTTACTTTTGTTGTACAATTTGCATATTTTAGCATCAGACCAAAAAGAGTTTTTTTTTTTCGAGCAACTTTTGAGCAACTTTCGTTACAATAAGCAACTTTTGATTGTTCTTAGTGCAACTTTTTGAGAAATTACGGGAAACTTTGTATGTATGTGTGATTTCGTACCGGTCCCCTATACATTTATATACTCTTCATCGAGAGAACTCTTACTCTGCATGTACTACCTGAGAACAGCCGACATTTTACGACGCCACCAACCGTTTCCTCGCCAAATGGACCGGTCCGTTCCTGAGTAACGAGCGCAGAAATTTCATACTGATGACGTGCCACTACCCAGATCTGGTTCGTGCTTCTGATCGGTTGATTGGTTTCGAATAAATAACAATTATTCACCGAAGTGGAGGTGGCTAGTCCTGGATATTTACCGAACTGCGAAGCAGTGAGGTAAATATCCACGACTAGCCACCGACACTGAGGTGAATAATTGTTTTAGTATATACTAAAACAGTGAGATAATTGAGCACAAAAATGACGATTTTTAACTCAAATACTGTTGCCAACGATTACAATTTTGGCGCGTAATGACCGGGCGGCCGCGGCCGTCGCTTTTTCTTGCCGACAATTAAAACTTTTGAAGGCATTTGTTTAGCTCTTGCGGGAAAATTTCTTCAAAAGGAGTTGTGAATTCTTTTTGTATTTAAAATCATTCTATAAAAAAAGATTATTAAATTTAGTTTTAAGCTTATTTATGAACAACTCAACTAAATAAATTAACGCAAGACTTAAACTTAATTTGCATTTGTAAACAAAAAACTTTTTCACCGGTTTTATCGATAAATTCGTGTCAAAAAGTCAAAGTTTTACCTATTAAAACTTCCAATCCGAACTTCGTCACCTTCTTCGTGTATTTCGGAAACAGCTTGCTTGATTAGTTGTGAAATTTCTTTGTTTGCTTACGGCAGCAAACCGGGAAGGCATTTTGCTCGCAACTTACGCGAGTTTGGCGTCGCTCGCTCGGAGGAACTGGAGGTGAATCAGTGAATAGTGCAGGATATTCACTGATTGAGTAGCCAATCAGAGCGCGCGAAAAACGCTTTCCACTGTTTTAGTATATACTAAATATGGTTAGTGGACAAGAGTCACGGGACAAGCTTTTGGTAATAGGAAACTAAATATAGCAAATTGTAAGAACTTTATCATTGGCATGTCATTGGCATGTACAAGGAAAAATAAAATTACAAGAAACATTTTTCAAAGTTTACTTACATCCTTTAGTTGTATTTTCACTGTCTTGGTCGAGGCCTAGAGCTGCATTCTCATTTAAAAACTGCGTAGAATAATCAGGCCCGTAGCAAGCATAAACTGGCTGGGGGGGCTGAGCGAGTGGCCCACATTAACTCCCCCCCCCCCCGCTTCGGTCCCTCGGTTAAAGCATACATCTTGGTACATGTCCGGATCACTACATTTGTCTACAATATCAGATCAACTAACGAAAGCCTACGCGAAGGCCTCTGCACTGAGAAGAATAACGCGTTTTCTTCCTCATGATGCAATGTTAAAACTTTATAAAGCATTTATATTACCTCATCTCGAATACTGCAGTCCTTTGTTTGTAGGTATAGGTACGGGTCAACGCAACCGTCTCGAAGATGGCAAGTGTTATATTTTGAGAACATTAATCGGGCACAACAAGTCAATGTCATACAACGAGCTGCTCACTGCGGCTAGCATGACATCCTTATATTGTAGGAACTTACACCAGGCGTTAATACTTCTTTTTAAATGCTTAAATGCTGGGTACGGGACCTACTTATATTGGTAGCCTTTTGCATACACCGTATAGGCTAAGAGGTGAGGGCTTGAATTTGGAATTACCTAACTTTAATCTTAAATTTAAGAAGAATTCTTTCACTTATTCATTAACTAAGTTATGGAACACTTTGCCTTCTCAAGTGCGTCTTTCAAGTGATGCTAATGACTTCAGAAGTAAATTATACGATTGCAGCTTTTTAGAACGTGTCTTATAGTGCACGATTGTAGTTTTTAACTTTTTTTTAGAACGAGTATTATAGTTTTCCTAGTCACGTTTTTAGTATGTGGCTTTTTGGTCGGTTTTAGCTTTTTATATTTTATTTTTTTATAACCAGGTTTTTTATATGTTTATATTTATTGAGTTGTTTTTTAAATTGAATAATATTATATAGCTTTAATTATTATAGATTTTATTTATATGCACGTTCGTATTTTGAACGGGTTTTTTTAGCTCTTTGACGTAACGTGTTAAAGCTGTCCATTTTAGTAGAAAACTTCCACTTTTGTAGCAGAATTAAATTCAAGTCTGAAAATTTCTGGGGGGCTCGAGCCCCCCCTGCCCCTCCACCTGCTATGGGCCTGTGGATACGACTCTATGCTTAGAAAACTGAAAAAAATTGAACACTGTGTGTCGACGAGAAAAAACTTTCCATTCCGAATCTCGCCTTCAAATATGGCATCGACAAATCCCAGATCTCTATTATCCCCTCTCCCTATTATCCCTTTATGTCTCTCACGGGAAGAGGGTGTTATTTCCCCTCCCCCCCCCCCCCCCCCCCCCGATGAAAATACACAACCACACAACAAAAAAAAAAACAAAAATAAAAAAAAACAAAAAAAAAAAAAAATGAATACATCAAATCTGACTTTGGTACTCTTCGATGTAAGGTCCATGTCAGAGTGAATACATGCTCTCTTTTTTCTCTCTTTTCCTCTTCTACAAAGAAACGCGATGCGGTTGAGGTGCAAGGACAAGTTACACCTTATTCACACCAATACTGTAGCGATGTC